CTCGCAAATAGTATGGTGGCTGGATTAATAAATCGGTAAGCGAATCTTCGTGCTTGATTCTGGAAGTTCAGATCCTGATTTCGTAAGTCTGACGGCACATAGTATTCATCACTATAACGTAGATGCCGGCTGCATTTTTGAAATCCAACTCAGTCGCCCTGGAGTAAATTCCCACGGCACCCTACACTACGGCGGCTTATGCGACTCTTTTAGTAGCCATGGCAAACCGTGCACTACTCGCACGAGGGCCAGTCAATGACTGGAGTCACTTTACTAGACTCTCTGGCTTCTGGGTCTTAGGAAGAGGCACTCACCGACCAGCGGCGACCAAGATACAACGGTGCGGAGAGTTGAGGTCCACAAACCGGCTGGCTTTGTAAAATGCCGCAATTCCCGACTTTGGCATCGTTACAGAGCGACCATGAACGGCAAGTCAATAAACCTGCTGGTATGACCTTAAAGTTCGCTACCAAGTGAGACAGTTACCCCCGACACAATTTTTGTTTTTAAAAAAAAGAATTAAGGTGATTATAGTTGAAAAAGACGACTCTCACAACGTGACATCTTAATTTCAGCCTTAGAAAATCATTCTGACTCACATTGTTTCTAACTGTACCGCGAAAACTTATTGCCTGAGTGCAACATCCAAGTGAATACATACATTACGGATATCTAGCCGAAGAAATTGTTAAGCTCTGCAACCCGCGTTCAGTGTTGCGTGCGAATTGTATGATGACTGGATAACTCAATCGGTAGGAGAACCTTCGTATTTGATTCTGGAATATGAGAACCTTATTCCCTACGTCTAACGGTGCACAGTCTCCATCCGTATAACCTGGATGCCTGCTGCCTTTCTGAAGTCTAAATCAGGCGCCTAGAATTACAGACCCCCCACACCGCTCACATGACTCCTCTGGTGGCCATGGTGCCGCCACCACGCTCTCGCGATAACCAGACGGCGAACTACTCGTACAAGGGTCTGCCAATAACTGATGTCACTTTAAGAATATCTCGGTCGCATCTAGGTACGTGCGGACATCAGCTGCTGACCAACAATTGTTAAAGGACTTCCTCGCCATAATCTACTGCTTTTTCTCAGGGTCCGGAGTAGCCCGAGACGTGACCCCCTGACTCTTCGGGTACCTTATTGTTCGCTCTGGTCTTCAGTTTCAATGGGACACTTGTGACAGAATGCTCAGATTTCCTTACTACAACCCACTAATTGTCTCCAACATGTTTCCAGCATCACCAAAAAAATTTGGAG